TTTGGTTTAACACTAGAACGCCCGGAAATTTTCATGACCTAGAACGCCCAAAGCGGCCATTTGAACCGTTACTGTTTTTTTTAAAATTTTATACTTAAAAATGGTTCTGAACTCAAAAATGAATTCAAAATTCTGCAAAAAATAATTTTTGTGGGACAAATTAAAAGTTATGACATAATTTATTTTTAAATAAATTATATGCAGTTTGTTTTATTAAGGATAAAAATCATAAAACCGCTACGGGCATTCTAGTGTTAAGGAAACATATTTTTGATTTTTCAACTATTGAAGAATTTTTCAGTTTGAGCAAAAGGTCTTAGACGTCAGTTTTGCTTATTTGTTGCTTATAAACACTCTTATTTTATCTAAAAATAGGGTTAAAATCAACAGCTGCTTGTATAAGACAGGTTAGGACCGCTCGCCACTATCTATTAACATGAATACCTATGCTATACCTATGCTTAGGAAAACGTGTTTTCTTTCTTGACTTCAGACGTAGAATAATATAAGTTCACAAAGTGAATATTAAGGGACAATAGAGAAGCACTCGAATAATATTACCTTAAAAGCAATTTTACTTGACAAGCGCTTGAACAAGTGTTTGTCAAGTGAAAAATCAAGTACTCGCACGCTGGACAAGTACTTACAAGTAAATTTACTTCTGGAAAAAAGACAAGCTTTATTACGCAAGCGGAGTACTTGTCGCAAGTACTTGAGCACAAGTACGTTCTCTAGGGCTAGTTATTAACGATTACGGTTATGTATGTCTAGGAAAAAGCAATTAAGCCTTTTCTCGTTCACAGAAACAACATAAAATGTCATGATAAAATTGTTTTAACCATAGTAAATACCTGGTATAAGATCTAAATTTTTCTTTTGTGTCGATGATCGTCCAAAATTGAATGTATATAGATATAATTGTTTAAATTTTTCATTATCATGATCAATCTCACGATTAATTTGTTTTATTCTCTCACGTAATTTATCAAGTGTATCACATTGTAATTCATTCATACCATTTAAAAATTCTTGTTTTCTTACTTCGCCTTGTATTTCACAATTTAATTTCCAACATAGTATTAACGTTTCACGATCAACTAAAAAGAAATAAAATATGAATAAAAATGATGATTTTTCTTTTTTTTTTCTTCATCTCTAGTTTTACTTTATTACCTGGATCAAAATTTAAATCTTTAAGTAAACGTATTAATTGTTCTATAGATGTTTTTGAATGATCATGTGGATCACAATAATTTGACCATAATTGATCAATTTTTTTACGATCAAATTTGCTACTACTGCCACCACTGGATGATTGTGATGAATAATTGGTACGTGATGCTGTATTAGATGAATGATCTTGTAAGTTTGAACTTTCATAATGTGAATTAATGGCTCGTTGTAGATCCCAATCATTTTGTGTTAATAAAGGTCGTGCTTGTGCTTCAGTAACACCCAATATTTCACGTAATTGACGAATTTTTTCATTTTTTTCACGTTCATTTTTACGTGTGGACATTTTTGAAATTAATATGCCAAATAAAATAATATCAGTCAACAAAAAAACAAACAATGATAAATTAATATTTAGTAAGAATCCTGCCAGATTTCAAAATTATACTAAATCAAACCTTTATCTATCAGGTTTTGTAGAGCTTGTCGTGACGGATCTAACCATGTATCAGATGTGGGTTTATTCGTTAAGGTTAACGAGATTTGAGGGTGTTTGTTAATGCACGTAAGCTTTAAGCATGCGAAATAAACAGGAAAACATACACGTCCATAAAATTCAATGAGAAACTTGAAAATAAAATTTGGATCGCTATCTTATATCGATATTTACACATGACACTTAATATACGTCTTAAATTTGTTTTCTCTCTGAGATGAATCAAATCAAAATTTTTATTCATAATTTAACTAAACTAGATGTGATCCGGATCCAGGACATTTAACCTTCGGAAGATATGAGCAAACCAGGATCCTGTTTCGAGTCTAAGTATCAACCGTAGTGCATAATCGATATTAGAGACCCAGATTTTATTGTCAAGCTTCTCATTGAATGATATTTTAAGGACGTGTATGTTTTCCTGTTTATTTGGTATGCTTAGCTTACGTGCATTAACAAACACTTTAAGAATCATTGAGAAAAGTAAAAACTATCTCACAAAACTAAAAGATACAGAAAAAAAGCTTGATTAAGTACGAATACAATGTTAGAACTGGTTGACGAGTGAAACCAGCAACAAAAAAACAAGTTCGAATCAGACATATTCTCAATCTTGGATGACGTTTTTTTAAAAATATTTTTTTGTATAAAGGCACACGGTTTCAGACTTCGTAGACAGAAGTCACACTCACGCAATTTCTGACTAAAGGAAAAGTTGATTCTGCATCTCCTTCAAATTTTACGGGCATTTCGCTGCACACATAAAATGGAGTCAATCGATTTTTTAACGTAAATGATTTATTTTTCTCGAAGAGCTAGCCGTCAGACACCGTTATATACCCAATTTGCAGAGTTTTCATTCCCGTACAAGAATATGAGTAAGAGACCATTTCATTCTACTTTCTTACGAGGAAATAGGGACCTTTCTTCTTACGTTAGTATCCATTGCAAGCCAAAATCATTCGGATCCTCAAATCTCGTTAACTTCAACGAAAGAACATACATTCGATACATGGTTAGATCCGTCATGACGAGCTCTACAAAACCTGATAGATAAGGGTTTGATTTAGTATAATTCTGAAATCTGGCAGGGTCCGTTATGATTGAAAATATAAATGACAATCTAAAAAATGAAATAGAGAGTAAAAGAATTCATGCAATATCAGATCCTCAATGATTATATGTTTCAAAAGATAGAAATTAATAAGTTAATGGACAAAATGTCCGATTCTGGCCTTCTAGATATTTAAGAGAGTATCGAAGCAAGAATGACATGAGATTTATATTAGCTTTAGTTTATCATATTTTCTCAAATAAAAGTTTAATAAAAAATAAGAAAAAAAATAATAATGATTAATTTGTTAAATTTAGTTTAAGAATGGTTATTGTACAATCACTTCCAATTGTTGCCAATCGTTGTTCACTTTTATCATAGCATAAACCTTCCAATGAACCAAAATGTATTTTTGAACTAAAACATAAATGAACTTTTGATGCAGCATTTTCATAATCTTCATTTTCAAACAATAATTTCCATATAATAAGATAACCATTTTGTGTTACACATAAAATTAAATTTTTCTCAGAATCTATTTGAATATATGTAAGAGTAAACCATCCAAAAACATTTTCGGGTGCTTTAATCATTTGAATAAAACAATAGTGATGTTCATCATCCGTTTCTAATCCATTATAAATTCGAACGGTTCGATCATCAGCACACGTTAATATACGATACTTATTTACAGATAAAAATAATGTCCATGAACAACTTGTTACAGCTGTTGTATGACCAGTTAAAATAGCTTTTGAAATACGTAAATTTGATAATTGATTATAATGAGAATTAATTAGATCATCTATTTTCCATATAGCTGTTGTTTGATCTTCTGAACTTGTAGCACAATATAATTCATTTGGACTATAACATACACTCCATATTTCTGCAGGACGATAATGATCATTAGTAGAAGAAGTACATGCTTCCAATTCCTGTTCAAGACAATGGATACCTGTAGTTTCTACTAGTTGAATATGAACAATTTTATCTTTTGATAATGGTAATATAACTGATGTTATTAAAAATGAACGTGTTGAATGATGTTGACTAGCTTGTTGTTCATAATACATAATGACTAAATGACCATTAGCTAATCCAATTAAACATTGTGTACAATCATTATTCCATGTCATACAAATAACGGCTGTATTAAAATCATGTATTAAATTAAAATCATCTGAATGATTAATATCACAGATATAAAAGTTACCGGATAATGTACCAATAAATATAATATTTGTATTTTTAATTGATGATAAACATCGAATACTATCTGTAATTAATAAATGTTTTCGTGGTTCAGAAGAATTTAATGGCCAATTGTATAGATTACCACTTAAATCACCCGATATTATTTGATCAGATGATGATAAATAAGATAAACCACAACCAGCGGTTTCATGATAAGATTTTTTAATCAATGTTGTTAATATTAATTTATATTTTAATGATGTTAATGATGAACCAGAATCTGTACTTGTGTTCAAACTAAAAATAACATTACCATTTGAGATCATTGCTTCATCATCTTCGTCTTCTTGTTCTTCATCTTCTTGTTCAATTTTGACTAATGCTAAACCTCTAAAAATACAAAACATTTCGTTAAGTTATAAAAAACCAAGAATAAATTTCCGTCTAAACGTTGAAACATTCAAACAACATTTACTTACACGTATCCTCCCATCCATAACAAATTATTTTCTTCATTTTCCCATTGTAAATGGCAAATGTCAATTGTCGGTGCTCCATCTCCAATGGCCAATAATTGTCCATTTAAATTCCATAAATTTACTGTTCCCGATATATAACCGACTGTTAATAAATCATTTTTATACCATATCAATGCTTGCGGTGATCCGGTTGCACGGATTATCGAATAAATTTCTAAATGACTAGCATCAATAATAAATATTAAACCTGATTGTAAACCGACGGCAAAAAATTCTCGACAACTTGTTGTTGACGATGATGTTGAATTTAAACGTTTATTTGAGCCAACAGAAAAACGAGATGAAGATTTAGTTATATCATAATAGTTCTCAATAATGAGTATATTTATCGTTGAACATAAATACATTTGCCTTGTTTTAGCCGGTTCTAATTGTAATTCTTTTTCTAATTGACCATTTGATGCTTTTAATTGATGTATTTTTACATGTTGTTGTGAACGTTGAAGAATAGCCCATAAACGTTGATCATCCGTACATAGTACACATTCGTAACCAATTGAACCTGCAACATAAGTATTACTTGTTTCAACTTGATCAACAACTGGTGGAGCTAAATGAGTTGAATGTTCAACAAATGGATGAATTTCTTCATTTTCAACTGACCAATGACGTAACCAATTTTCTATTAAACAATTTTCTTTTTGTTCATATTTTAAAGAAATAATTGTACCATCAAATCTTGAACACAAATAAATCAATTGACCATTATTAGTCCATGTACCATAATGAACATGATTAATTCGTGCTTGATATTCAATTAATTTTTCATAATTTTCATTCCAAACAACTAATTTTCCTGAATAAGAACATGTTAATATATTTTTCAATTGTTTATTATATAACAGAAGTACAATGATATCGTGTGATGCTTGAAAAAATTTTAAACGTTTATTTTTTGAATAATTATAGATTTGTATACATCCATTCAATGTTGTCTCATAAATATAATCAGATGATTCTTCTCCATTATTTCGAACAATTGATGGAAATCCAGAACATTGACGAAATGAACCAATACCATAGATATTTTCAATATTCGTTGTTAAATTAGCTTCATTTGACATTTTTATTATTACTTGTTGTTGTTATTTTCACTGATTCGTTAATCCTTTCTTCTATTCTCAATCACTTTTACTCAACATGAATGGATTTCATACAATGTATACTTTAACGTTCTATAACATTTTTTAAAAAATATGAAAAAAAAACATTAGAAGAAAAATTTTCTTTCAATAAACAAGAAAGAAAAAGGATGACAAATTTTAATAGTCACATTTTTAAATTTTATCTGTAAAACAATTAGAATAAACATTTTGTAGAACATTAGAAAAGTTTTCTATTATACTTAAAATATTTTATTTTACAAAAATTGCTTCTTGAAAAAAATCTATAATGATTTTATTTTGAAGATTTCTTTTCGATCATCATACGAACTTTGAAAATATTTATATCCACAATTTAATTTCAAATATAATTTATTGAGATAGCACAACAGAATTCACAGAGTCAAATATTATCAGCTCATTATTTTCTTCATCAATCTACGTGAACTGCTCAATTTCAATAATAGATCATGTTACCAACGACGTAATAGATCTTACTAGAAAATATGACCAATTACTTTTAACACCCTTTTTTATTTCATAATCATATTTATATTTTTTGTTGTTGAATTTAGCCATGTACAATCGGATAAAAGACATTTTTTCTTTCTCTCTATTATTCAATCAACGACATATGTTCGAACGTTAAATAATCGCTATTCTTGTTAACCTTTACAGACAAAGAAGTTAATCTAATAGATCCATCTGAAAATGTACACACACTGTATCTTTCATCAATTTTAGAAAAAGAATCATCTAAAAATGATATTTGTCGACAGAGGTTTATATCTAGCAAACATCTTATTCACAAAGAAATGGTAATTTTGTGAACTTTAGTTAAAAGTTTCGAAGAACAGATTTAGTTACTACTACTAGAATAGTTTTAGTTTTTATTAATTTAGTTACTAATACTAGATTAGTAGTAGGAGTAGGGTTTTGACGTATGTTTTAGTAAAATTCATATGAAAAAATAAAATATACTAGAAAATTCTCCTAAACTTTGACATAATCAAATAAAAAATTGACTAAATTGCATATATTTTCGTCATTTCTAATCCATATGTAAATTAATAATTTTCTGCATCATATACTTTTAATGTTCAAGTGAAGTAAACAAAAAAAGACGCAAACAGCTGGAATATTAACGACTCTTCTAGCATGTTTAACATACACGTTCAACAAGTCTAATAGAAAAGAGTATATAATAAACATAACTGTCCTTTTTTCACGGAGCATGGTTATCCACTTCTGATGGGGTTAGTCTCATTTCTCTTTCTAATTTGTTATTCATCTTTTAAATTTTCCGCTTAATTTATTCAAGTAGTCGTTGTTGTCAATTATTTTTCTCAAGTGTTGACATTCGTTTAGTATTTACTGTTCTTACTAAGCATTCATACAATATCAGTTGCCTTTATACGGATTCCGGCTGTTTTATAGTCAGAAGAAGGGATTCAACTTTCGACGAAAAGTGGTAATAGAAGATCTTTCACCAACAAAATAAACAAGGTCTTTTTAACTTATAAGTTATAATCCCTTTTGATGCTGTGGTGCAATCAGGACTTTGTGGACGTTCAAGTAGATCTTTACCGATGCCAAACAGGAATTGGACAAAACATTTTTTCGGTCAAAAATCCAGAAAAAGACTGCTACTCTACTTGAAATCATTGTACGTTAAAACCACGATCTGTACATTTGTCTCACTAACGATACATGTAACAAAATACACAATAAATATTTTAAGAACACACCTGTTCATATTCGTGTAACGAATCAAGATGCATGCCATCTATACCACAATGATTGTAAAACTTATCTCACTTTAAGTGATGCCCATTGTTCTTGTACAATGTTTTGTCTTTCGAATTTCCTAGAATTTCAAACAACAAGAAGTAGGGTGCAGAAATACTGAAAATTATAAATAAAACTACAACGTAACTATATCTTATATTGTACGAAATGGTAAGATTATTGTTGTGAAAAATTTCAGTTTCTCATTTATTCATCCTACTCTTCTTACTTGTGAAGGATGTTAAGCTTGTTTCTAAAAAAAAGAGGTTATTGTTGAACATCATTTAATCTCTAAATTTAAAGAGTCATCTTCATATTTTACATTCTCGTTGTTTCGTTCGTAATTCATATGGCTACTTGTATCTATTCAAAGATGAAAAGATAGTCTTAACGAATTGCTCTAATCTTTTAATGTATTAATTACACATGTTTTTCTGATTTTGTTATATTGTATTATTTGTAATGAGATTTTTATTTATAAATAGTGTGGATGAAATAATGTATGATTGAATGAAAATAAGATAATCTCACACTTACCAGTAACAGAGTATGATAATCATTTGTGAAACAGAGATGACCAACTAGAAAAAAATGTTATTAATTTAGAAAATGACGGATAAACTTGAGTTGCTTCATTTGGTACTTGATCTAAAAATAATCGATAGAAAAAGGTTTACTCTTAAACATGACTACTTACTCTTTCTAATGAAAATCCAGAGCTCTTTGCTATGACACATAGTGTTAAGTGTTTGATTTGCTACATTTTCGTGACTACTACATAAAAATGAATTCTCTACGATTAACGATTTTTTGCTTTAGAAATTATATTTCACATTGAATTTCTGAATCAATTCGATTCAAAACAATGAGTTTTGTCTAGATTTTAAACAACTTACAGAAGATTTAAATCTGATCAGTTGACAGTCAAAGACATAAAATTCTATTATTTGTACAACAATATGAAAGAAAGATGGATTAGAATTTGTAGTAATCAATATCCTACTTCATTAAAACAGTTTTCGAAATAAACCTAGGATATGAAAGAGAAAAAAATTTATTTGATGCTGGATCCTTTTATACTACAATGAAATACAAACAAAAAAAGAAAAATCAAAAGAAAAAACAAAATTTTCAACGTACGTATGGGATAAGTAGAGAAGAAAAAAGAGCATTAAAAATGTTCTGTTTCTTATAGTTTATTACGCTTCTTCAACAGATTTAAGTGCCAATTCTGGTTTATCATAACCTAAAGAAAAGAAATAGAAGATAATTACATCTGGTTCGTCTAAGATAGAAAAACTCACCTAAATCTTCTGGTGTTGATACGCCAAGTTTTTTGAGTGTTGGTTCTATTTCTTGTAATATCCATGGCCATATTTGTTTTGAGCCTAGAGTTGATTTATGTCTGATTGCTTCTAAATATCGAACAGCTAATGAATGATCATTAACACGTTTACAAGCGTTTAAACATGCTATAATGATACGTGGTTCTGGTATTAAATCGAGTCTATGCATATGATTTATTCCTTGACGTATATCCCACCCATCAATATTTGGACGATTGAAATAAGTTTCCCAACGGGAATCAAATTCTTCATCTGTCTCTTTCTTATGTGATGACATTAAACGTGTTTGCTGTTGATTAAACATACTGTTGTTTAATGGTAGAGAGATGAGACGAGTTTTCTGTGACGAAAAACACTGTAAACCGACTCGAACTAGATGAGCCATGGTTAAATAGCGCGATTCAAGATAAAGTAAGAACAATATATTTTCTGAAACAAAACAAAATATAAAAAATAAACCCTGTTAGGAACAAACATATTTTCGATAGAGATAAGCTGAAAATGCATGTCACTATCGCTTTATTGAATGACAGAAAAAGGTTGCATCATCACACCTCATTAGGTTTGAAGTCGTGCAGTTTACTTGTCCAAACCAATTTTATAAAACACTCGAGTATCGGTGTCCGAAAGTAAAACGTCTTTTTTCACTAGTACTGTAGTTTCATAAAAGTAAACTTTGTTACTTTCCACTAACCATACATATAACGTGATAGTTTTCGTAACAGTCTATTGCATTATTGCGGCAAGACATTCAAAAAGACAAAAAAAGCACATTTTCAATGAAGACAGATCAAGAAAGAAGTATTTTCTTGTGGAAAAAGTTGTCAGAATCATGAATACCCGTTTGAGGAAGCAAGAATTTATGACCTACTACAATACCCGTTGCATTCTGTTTCCACTTTAAAAAAATATTCGAAGAAAATCTTTTTGTTAACCTATTTCTTCACTAACAATAACAGAAAAAAAAAGTAAACTCGAAAATAACATAGAAAAAGAAAATAAATACACTTACTGAATGAACATTTCAAACATTCATTCACACAGGCTTACAATACAAATGATACAATCAAAAACAGTAACAAACAAAAAAAAAAGCCATATTTGCACTATTCATCATAGTTGAGTTCGATCTGACAAAATATTCAGTTTTTTAACAAAAAAAAAATCAAAAAAAACCTCTCGTACAAAAACACCGAATAAACGAACCAAAAGACGCTTATGCTCATCTTATATCACTTCAGAATAACTGACTCGAAAGAAAGAAGAAAAACATAGACAATAGAGAAAACACTGCACTTTCATAAGTGTTTCAATGTATCAAAGACAACACTCTTTTATCACAAAGAAGAAAAGACGCATCAATCACGAAAAAAAAGAGAACAATTGCTCATTTCTTTCTAACCGATCATCCAACAAAGTCTATTTACTATAATTTCGTACATGTTTTTGCAGGAATGAATTTGTTCACTTCGACTAATTGAATAATAAATTAAAACTACTTACAAACAAAAAATACCAGGCAAAAAAGTAGTCACATTTGTTCATAGAATGTCTTTTTCTATATCTACTAGTTTGGTTTCAATGGATAATTATGTATAATTGAAGAAAAAAATCTTTATTGTCCAAGTTGTTGAATTTGTTTATCAATATCTTGTATTGCTTTTAATAAAACTTGTTTTGTCATTGATAAATTGGCCACTGTTACAGCTGGTGCACCATTAACCGATTCTGTTTCAACAAACGATTGTTCGCTTTGTTGTTCTTCAGCGTGTCTAATTGGACTAATAATATGATGGGATCCTTGTTGTTGATGTTGCCTATTATAAATATCGTTTATTAATGTACAATTATTATTTTGACTAGGACCAAAATATGGTCTTAAAAATTGCACTTCATTGCTTGTATTCGATAATGGTACATTTGATAACGATTGTTTGTACATTGAACGGTTTGTTAAGTTCATTACTGGATTATATGAAAACGGTTGTTTTGTATTCAGATCAGTCATATCGTTATTTATTTCAGTATCATCTTCGAAATCATTATCGGGTAATATCTGACGATTATTTTGTGTTGGAGGTGAATGATAGCCGTTTGAAGAAGTAGCGGAAGACGAGAAAGCGGAACATACAGGAGACGATGGTAAACCAACAGCAGCAGTCATCATAGTTGAACCAGACAATATTAAACGTTCCATATTACTTGTGGATGAACGATTAAAATGATTATTATTTCCCATATTTTCATTTAACAACGATTGTTTTCTCATTATTGGCATATTTCGTTGACTTTCAATTGAATCATATATACTAGCATTTGGTGAAATGATTGAGTTTGCTTGTTTTTCGTGAGATAATGTTGATGTTGAATGGATAGAATATGTATCATCAAAATCCTCTTGCGAACGTTGTTTATATTCTTGTATTTGTGTTAAATTTGTTCGATTTGGTTGTGGTTGTGATGGTGGCATTTGTTTTCGAACTTGTGTAAATAAGTGATCATTAGACGACGCTAATGAATCAGATGTTTCACTGTTAGCCATTGAATTATTTATTGACAATGGTTTGACAAATGAACTAGTTGGCGTTACTGAACGTGATGATTGTTGACTTGTTGTTGTCGAATTATTTTCAGAATATGATGAAGAATTATAGACGACAGCTGATTGACGTTTTCCTTGACGTTGAAATTGCGGTTGGTTAGGATAATATAATTGTGTTAAATATGTGGAAATTAATTTCGCGGCTGCATGACACCGAGACACAGAACACCAACAATTACCAAGTCGCTGATGATATTCACATCGTTGATCAACCATAAATGTATAAGCCGCATTTTGAAATGTTTTATCTAAATCATCAGTGGATACACGATGATTTTTCAATTGAGCTAATGTCATTATTAAACTTTCAATACTACAACGATCAACCAAACGTGTTTCACGAGTCGGCTTTTTGTCTAAACAAATCGAGAAGACAGTTCACATAAATCATCACGTATGTCAATAAAAATAGGTCTGGTACTAATAAGAATAATAAGAAAGGGATGTACTCTCGTGTGCATGATTTACTATCAGTCGTTGTCCACCGACTCATATAAGTAACAGGAAGGTCATCATCGGTCGTCAGAACGAAGAAAAAGGTATAAAAACATCATGTACTCGAAAAGAACCTAATTAAGGACACGTCTCCTCTTTTCTCATTTTCTTAGCAGATTGAGAGCGAAAGCCCGAATAAGTTCAAATTCATAACAGAGATAGAATATCGAAAAAGAAAATCGATGTATTTTTGCCACGAATTTTCTGGCATGTTCTTCTATGGGTTTTCTGGAAAACTCTGGTTCCATTCGAGTCCATTACGACCCTCCGGAAACTTCATCGAATCGAGTCCAAAATATAACTACAGATATCTGGGACAATACCTCAGAACGGGAATTTTCCCTTTTCGTTTATAAGCTTTCCTTCTCGAGATATAAAAATAATGATAAAAGCCCTAGGGTAAATCTAGGATTTGGGCTTTGAAAACCTCGTAACTTGGAAAGAAATAATCAAAAATTCGATTTACTTTTCCAATATTCTATCTCTGGTATGAATTTGAACTCAATCGGTCTTTCTCTCTCGATGTGCCAAGATGAAAAAAAAGGAGGGGTCCCTTAAATAAAACAAAGTAGATTTGCGCAGTGTAATCGACGTAGTCGCATTCGATTTCAATTCTGACTCTTAAAATCATTCAGACATAGGAGCTCAAACCGTTGAGCAAAAAATACAGATACCATTCTTACATATGCAAGTCAATACCTTTATACAAGAGTAGTTTGAAGAGCACGAAACTGCTTAGAAATATATTTACTTTCAGCTTTTTCTTGTAACCAATCTAATAATGCATTTGTTTGCTCGTGTTCAACAGCTGGATAAAAGACGCATGGTTTGTTTAATCGTCTTTGCCGCCTTTTAGTGCGATCATCTTCATTTTGACGTTGTTCTGTTCCTTGTGCTCCTCTCGATGATCTTGTTGAACTGTTCATCATATTTTCATTATTACCTCGAGAAAAACTTGTTCCATTGCCACCATCATTATTTGACATCGTTGATGTTGACGAGAAAGGCATCACAACCGATTTTAATTGTTCATATAGAAGACCATAGTTATTAACAGCACTCTCAAAATCACGTATGGGAATTTCATGTTTTGTTTTTGACATTTCGAGACACGCGCTCATGTATCCAGGAGGAATTTTTTCCGGTTTAATAAATGCATGCCGCCACGTTGTTGGACCTTCTTTTAATGAGTATCCTGGAATAAAAGCGATATAGTTTATCTACAATCTAAAACAAAGCTTAGAACCACATACTTAAAACACTCATTTCCGCCGGCACAAACTGTCCACCATCTTCCACATCGATTTTACAAAAAATCTGAAAATTAATCAGATAAATTGGCATTTGTAATAATTCTTTTAAATCTAGCGGTAAATAATCGTGTGCCAAATATTCTTTTTCAATGTTGAATCGATTATAATGAATTTGTAATTCTTCACATGGTATAACACGTTTGTTCAATGTTTGTTGTGTTTCTCTTTCATGCAGCATTTTTTCTTCATTTGTTTTCGATGGCGGTCCACCAGGTCTTGATTTTGTTGGTGGGTAATATTGTCTTTGCCCTGGTAGTGGACCTAATGTTGTTTGTGCCATAGCTGCATCCGGATCAGTTCGATATAATAGACGCCATTCTTCATAGCGCTCTTTATACGGTTGTTTAGCTTCATCAGGAAGACTTTTCCATTCATCATAACATGATTCAATTGCTTCTTGGATAGTTAAATTTCGACCATTTAATCGGGATACACGATTTTTATAGTCTATGGCATAAAAATAGAATGCCGATCGCGATGGTTTGGGCATTTGTAATATATTTTTGTTTTGTGTTTGTCTAAAAAGTAGAACAGAGATCTAAATCAAAACTTGTTTAATTTGGTGTCACAAAAAGAAAACTTGATGGATAAACAGTAGAAAAAATGATCTACTGCATTGTTCTCAGCGGCTTGAAATATCAAGAAAGATGCTTTCGTCAGTAATAGTGTAGATAAGGGTAAAGAGCATACTTCAAGAGCCAAAATACCTTTTTGCAATAACTAATCAAGCGCTCCACTCCTTTACCAACATTGAAATTGCTAGTTCAAGTTTCCCATAAAAAGAGATCCGCAATTATCTTAATGAGAAATACAGAGCAATCCAAAAAAGGAAATAAAAGCAGATACGCAAGCGAAAGACGCTCTTTATCACAGAACAAATCTGGAAGCAGCCTAAAGATAAGGGTATTAGCAATAGAAAATATCGTTTATGGTATTTAATTACTCTCGATCTTAATCCTCTACTGTAATTCAGACATCACACAGGGGTTTCGTCACTTACTCTAAGCGTAGTCATTTTTAGAGATAATGTAAAAAACTGGCAGTAGTTGCATGCTGCAACATTTAACGTTTTTCTTATTTATATTTTATTCACATTATAAAAAAAACTGAAAACAAAAATTACAGGAAAAACGTGACATCACAAATAATCATAGCACATTTTTACCGTTGATTACTGCATTTTACGGAAAGTAGATGAACATTATCTGAGTCATTACTGTTCATCAAAGAAGCAGCCAGATTTTGACTTTGTATATAAAGTGTTTTATAATCAGGATGGAAATGGTTTGGAACATCATTAGCAAGGAGGATGAATATTAAATCTGGGTTTGAGCAATCGACTTTTAGTGTAATCGCTATTTTCAACTTTTTACATCCTTGTTTTGTGAATCATTACTTTCAAGGTTAATAAAAGAAATTCGTTTTTGACGACCTCCAACTGGCTGCTTTTAAACGTTAGCTAACGGAACTCTTTTCCATTGAATGATTTCGAGTGGACGAGGTTTTCGAGGAGAAACAATGATATATTGAAGATTGAACGCAGTGTTAACAGAACACATCAAATTACTAAACAATTTTCTCATGAGTTATCGTATAACGTTTGTACTCTACAGACTTGGAAAACATCGTATGGAACAAAACATTGTTCTACGAGTTTATACTTTTCTAAAGGTATGGAACAATTTAGTAAAACGAAGTGTGAGATGTAAGAGTTAAAGTTCAACAAACATCATAACTTCGTAAAAAAGAGACTGGGAATGGCCTCAAAAATGGGAGAGGATATCTTGTAAAAACAGATGTGAGGTGAATAAAACATAGATTAGCCAAGTTAAATATCATTTTCATTTGCATTGATTTTTCATAAGAAAGTCACAGTAGAAAGTTAGGCAGCGAAGAAAAGAAATTGGCAATGACGTGGGATTGGAGTTGAAATGAAGCCGTAATTGTAGCTAGCGTAGAATTAACTTAGTGGGCGTTGAAGTATTAATAATCGTTTCTTCTTCACTTGCATCAACATCGATGGTTGTATTTACAGTTTGCAGTTGCAGTTGAACCATGAGAACTTCAACTGATTCATTGTCACAGGGTTCAACTGATTCATCGTCACACAACTGTGACAATGAATCAGTTGACGTTCTCATGGTTTCAACTGCATCCTAAAGAATTTTTGTTCCTAAATGAGTAATATCATGAGAATTTCTATCCAATAGATCTTTATATTCAGTAACAATCACTTTGAATTTAACTTAACTATTATGCGACGCCGTTCTTTTAAAACCACTAGTTTTACATCAACAAATATTCACTTCTGAAACAGTGAAAGAGCTTAATGACAAAGTGTACCAACGCTCTGAAAACAGTTTACTAAAGGTATACTATTTCTTAACAGAGTTTTAGTTCATCTGAACAAAAGCCGATCTTAATTTATCATCAGTACACAGACTCTTGTATTTCTGATATTGCACTAGCAGGCAATTTTTTCAGAATTAGTGAATACACAGCGCTTGGAAAAACAAAGTGTAGAAAAAAATGATTTATACCATCATATCATCTAACATGTATATGCATGAAATAAAATAAATAAAGAAGAAAATCTACTTTTTGTTTTTGTAAACAACTCACAAAACGCAAAAGCCGTATCATATAATGGAAAGAACGTGACACGAAAATGAAGAACAACTTTCAATTGCTATGATACACGAAATCTAACTGGTAGTGGAACTGATACTAAATACATCTAAAGTAATGCTTTCCCCTATATCATAGCAAATACGTTTCATTTAATATTAAAGACGATACAAAAAAGATTTTTACTGTAACTTCACCACAAAGAATTTTGTCTTTAGTTGCTTCTTTAAGTAATGTAATGTATTTTTTGCATTTCTGGTGAACTATTCATCTACTCTTTGAACCAATCACCATTAGGTATCGACATCGTCCCATCACATGGTTAGAGGTGCAATCGTTTTCTTATGCATTATAGCTTAAGCAAATTTAAACTTGTTGATCGGCTGGTATTACGTCCGTTAAGCGTAAAGAGAACGAAAGAAAAATTTAAAAAAGATTTAGACCTGGCGCGCGCAGTATTATTTGGGATCATTCCTTTTATTCGTAGAAAACGGTTTTTGTATCTTAATCACAGTTTTAGGTTTTAAATGCCATTCTTCTCTGATAAACCATACATGCAAGAATTTGTTATGCTTCAAGCACATTTTTGATGGAATGGTAGTGATTTTCCCGAGAGACACGGTGGAAAACGATGGCTGATGCTATATACTATCTTCATATAGATTCATAATGAGCGGTCATAGCATTGTAAAAATTTTTACGCAGACATTTATACAAAAGATACTCTGAATCCGAGATATAGAGGTCAGCATGAACGCTTTTTTATATCTACAGACGAGCATTTTTGTGTTAATGCTCATCCATTTGTCCAGCGAATTTCTAGACTTTTTACTCATTTTCCCGAAAAAACCATCACTTTTTCTTTCTTCCAGATAAATAACATGTTTTTTAAACTTCAATTTTACACATGCAAAACTAGACATGCAGTTCAACTGTTACTCTTTTCAATATGAAAAGTCATCGTTCTGTGGAAGAAGGAAAAATACCCCGTCTTGCGGCTATCGTTTCCGGTACTTCTACAAATTCAGCACACCCTCATCCTAAATCTCACACACACCTACAGTAGAGAATGTGCTCAATCTCACTTTTCGTGAATAAACAGTCTTAGTCTGTAGAAGTGCCCCGTTTCCGGTACAGGGTGTTGCCGAATAGCAGTTTCAATAGCTCGATATCTTCCCTGTAGTTGACAAGCTTCTGGCATGAGTATCCATCTCGTTACTAGTCATTAGCCATAGCTGTGGACAGAAGGTATTTGAGCTCCTCATACACACTCACTAACTACGTACTAACTATCCGGAAAGCTGCACGAACTAGCTAGAGGAGCTACATTGTACGTCACAACGTCGTGAGTATGCTGTCGGACGAGTCGACGACAAATCATCGAAAGATTTTTCATCGCATGGACCTTTTGTTAAACGACTTTTTATCGAAACCAATCTCATTGAAAGATTTTTCATCGCATTGATGTACTATTGAATTTTGTTAGATAACTGAACGATAATCATAAAGTAAATAAAAGTACACTGGTTGTAAGTAGCTTGAATTGAAGGAAGGTTTAGGAAATGTACGTTAATTCTTCGACATGTGACATTGTTTTTTTCAGTTACATATTCGTAACCATTAAAACGCAGTAAACATTTACCTTCAGTTGTTGATAAAAACACTGGCCATAATTATAATCAAATTTTACTCCTAACAATATTTATGAAAGTGATAGAAGGTTTTGCATTTAACTATAACATATTCGTATCGCACAAATCATGTAAAAAGGAAGATAAATAATATGATATGTATACATATACTGCTTTATTAACCTTTTAAAAACCTTTCTGTTCTACTGTGATCACGTTCAAATCAACGCACTTTTTTTTCCTCTACTTTATATCTGTATTTCCTTGTCACATGTCGAAGAATTAACTTGCATTTCCTAAACTGTCCTTCAACTGAAGCTACTTACAGCCAGTGTCGGACTCGGATGAAATGTCGTTCGATGAAAATACTTTCGATGATTAGTCGTTACCCTTGTCGGACGGATGATTCGAAACACTAAGACATAAGTAACTTAAAAAATTGACGTTCTGCGATTCGAACACAGCACGTTTCCAGTACACGACGAACAATATAACTACTAAACCATGCTGTAGTTCTCGGTCTCCATCTTTGATTCCTTCCTGCTCGCTGACTTCGGTATCTTCTACAGGAACATGAACTATTTTGTATGATTTTATTATGGTGATTTAGAACGCCGTCCAGAATTACTAAAAGCGACTTTGCGTTTAACATCTCAATACTTTTACTGTTCTATTTAATTCATTCATTCAGATCGCTTTGATTCATTGTAGTAAAAAAGCATAGGAATGAGAGAATGGCAAATTGCATAATATAAAATAAAATGTTTTATTTTTTCTTCCCGAGACAAGCCACCACCAATTTTTTCCCTGAAAAAAGGTGAAAAAATGTTTGCGTGTCCATGTTCGTTCATGTCTATGAACAATTCATAGACATGAACTGACATTTTATCCGTTATTTATTTTTTTTAATGTGTTATGGATCATCGCTTCTCAATTATATAATAGTGACTAGCGTTTTCGATAACATCATTATTGATAAAGGGCAATAATAGAAATAAAAAGTTTAGTGTAATTGCGACTGAAATACCCTTAACTTGGTTTAACATGATTAAGAGTTTTTTAATAAAGACTAGCAATTTGATATTGTTATTGCTCTCTGTCCTTTGAACGACTTACTGTTTTTTATTTAGATTTATATACCATGGGTCCTCGGCGAGTATTTTTTAACAAAATACGTAATGTTGAAGCTCCACCTTCGACTACATGCAATTTAAACGAAAATATTCCCTGCGAGAAAAAACAACCATCATCATCTGGAAAAAGTGTCGTTGAAATACCTGTTATTCAAGAATCAGACAATGTTGATGGCACAACAACTACAACAAAGAAAAAATTGATATTACGAAAAACTAAACGTACATCTACAAAAAAACTTTATAATGGACCAAGAAAAATATTTTCAACAAGTTACAAAGTAAGAAGGATCAACACTACAGTTACACTACGCAAATAATCACGATTACCTTTAATCATGGTTAAAATATAATTACGATTAAGCATTTTCTAGTATAACCGAAATTATTTTGGATTATGATTAACAATATTTAATCACGATTAAAAAGATAATCGTGATTTAACTCGTGATAGTCATAACTATAAATACTCAGTGGGCAGGAGATAACTCATTTTTGTGTTGGCAAGTTAACATGAATACAATAATACTCTTTAATCTGATCAATGAATTTGTTGATACTGGCTGCTAATAAACCTTCTTATACTTTTTTTCAGGCTCTTCGATTCCAATGACTTGCTCTTTCATTCGATATCATTTCATCTTTTAACAAATTTAACAGCAACTTTGTTTCTTCCTCAGGCCCAGGGATGGGTGAGTCCGAATCCGGACTCGAAGATTTTTTTGCGGACTCAAACTTGGAATCGGACTGGCGATTCTTTCGAAAGACTCGGACTTAAATCTGAGTTTTTGTATTTCGAGCTCGATCGAGTCAAGTTTTAACATAAATTAACACTAAATTTTTCTGTAGCAATTCAACAAAAACAAAACAATTGTTTTCGCATTTGTTTAATCTTTCTTTATTAAAAAAGAATGAAAACTGAAATAACAACAACTTCTGTTTCACAAGAAATTGAAAATTTTATGCGGGAGACGAGCATGCAAAGTAATCTTATTTTCAAAAAATCGAATATCTATCCAGGGCTCAGTAAATTAGTTAGAAAACTTTTATGTGTTTCGGCTACATCGGCACCCATTGAGCGTATTTTTTCTTAATCAGGATTTTTGATTAGACGCGAAAGAGCACGTTTTACGAAAACCAACGTATCTCAACTGACATTGTTAAAATGTAACAGAAGTTTACTTTAGTAACTTTTTCTGTTTCAACAAGATTGATATATTAAATGGCGCAGAAAAAAACAAGAAAGAAACCACAATCATCAAAAAGGAATCTAAAAGATTATCGGACTCGTCCACTCCTGCTCAGACTACCAAGATCTTTTTGCCTTTATTTTATTCTTGTAACTCTGCGTAGACATTTTTAACAAAAAAAGTTATTATTATAAAATTATTTTTAATTATTTATTTATTAATCTGTGACAGAGTATAGTAATGCAAGAAAAATTCTTTGGTGTGCAAAACAGAGTTCAGACTGATTAGTTATTACAGTTGAGCAGTCATATATAAGCGCCGCTATCATGATCCTTTTTCCGATACAGGCGGTTAAAGTTAATCATAATTAAATTTAATCGCGATTAAAGATAATCATCTTCCGAACATGATTTTCAAAATAATCGTTGATTAAAGTAGCGGTTACACCACTAGTTTAATCAAGATTAAAGATAATCGTGATTATTTGCGTAGTACAATTTTATATAGTTTTGTTTACATTTTCTTAAAAAAGTAAGAAATACTCATGTTCTCTTCTTTGAAAACTTGTGGAAAAAATGTCTAATTTTACCTTTTTTTTACGTTTAGGCTAATCGTGCTCAGTTAAATCATAAAGATTTTTTTGGTGCTGAAGAATTGGAATTTGATGATGAAAAACCATTGTCTCCAGTCGAAGATAAATTTTGTTCTCAATCAAATCGTGCTAATGAAATCATTGATTCGAATCGTGAACAAATCAGTCGCATAACAGTTCTAAATTCAAAAGGCGTTCATTTTCCTTGCTCATCGACAGTTACAACAGCAACATCAACATCAACTACTACCACTACAAAATTATTACGTTCTTGTCCATCTCAAACGAATAATCGAATGGTAGTAAATAATAGTGGAACAACTGCGACTTCTAGCGCCACAAAAATAATTGAAAATGGTAAAATGAAAATTGTTTGTCCAAGAAATCAAAAAAATGTGAGCTTTACAAATGCCAATAATAAATAATTCTACTAACACTATTGAAATTTTTTTATTTTATAGATGTTTACAGTCGTTCCAAATATTCGACAACCGACAACATGTGAGGAACTTGGTGAAACACAGAGTTATATCGATGATATGGAGTATTTATTGGCCGGTTTTAAATCTACAAAATTATTGGATGATAGATGTTTAAGGTAAAGTTATTTATTGTTTAAAATACTAACTTTTTGGACATTCTAACTTGTGTAATTTTCTTTTTTAGTGCTGTTAAATTTGCTGAACAATGTGCTAATCCAAATTTTCGCATGCATCTTCGTACGGAAAGTGCACTTGATAAAGTATTTGAATTATTAGCTGATGCTCCTTCTCTACCAGTAAGTTGTACTTATTACTACAAACAGTAACAAGGTCTTTATACTGTATTTTATTTTGTAGAGTTTGAATTTGTGTACGTCATTTATATTATACATTTTAAGTTGGGACACACTATCGACTGGTATTAATCCAAATACTATCAAATTAATATTTAAATTACTTAATTCATATAATCACTTTAATGAATTGTCATTTGAAAATGATCGTGAATATGAAAAGACACGTCAACGTATACAAAATTTAGTTAAAAAATATGCACAAGAATCAAATGAAATATTTTATAATGAACGATTTTCTGTAAATATATTTTATTTTATAAAATTGTTGTAATTAATCAATATTTTTTGTTTGTTATTTTTTAGACGTCAGATATTTTACTCGAAACATTTGTAAATTGTACAAGAAAAAATTTAAAAGAGTGGTTAAAAAATGATATTCGATTAATGGATGGTTTAAGTACAATAATCGATGATGGTATATTTAAATCAATGAAATGATAAAAATTGAAATAAAAAATAATTAAATTTGACTTCATTTTAGTTGGATCAATTGTTCAAGATTTATCTAATAATGATTATCAATGTTATTCTTTAAGTGAAATACTCGTTCGTTATAGAAAAATATGTCGATATATTAAAATGTTAGAAGATTTTATGAATGAAAATAGTGATAATCGTGATTATGTTTCAAATTATAAACAATTTTCATTGTTTCATTCACTTAGCAAGTAAGTAAAGTTGAATACAAACCAAATTTTTAGCATATGTTATTAGTGATTCCTTTTGTAGATTGTTGGATCTCTCATTATCATGGATGAAACAATATACTTTACAAGAAAAATCTAGCAAAGATGTTGACGTTGTGTTAACTCATCAAATAACACCGACAACGGTGATGTCAAATGCATCATTGTATGAAATATTTTTACATGGTTCTAAAACGATCATGTCTGTTCTTGTTATTTTAACAAATGAATCGGGTAAATCTAAAAGTGACTAAATTATATTCATTTAAGAATAATAGTTTATTTTGAAATATAACTTTTTTTAGAAGAAAATTGTAAACGTTTAATATTAGATGATCGATTTTTTATGAATTTATTTCAATTACTTGTTATTATTGAACGAACACAAGCTAATGATGATCGATTCGATGTTATGGCCCTGGTATATAGACATTTTTATATATATTTTTTTTATATGATTAAAAAGTTTATTTATTTTCAAGGCAATGAATCTTTTGATAAATCTTATACAAAATAGCAAAGATGTCTATAAACGTTTAATGGAAGATGATATGCCTGGTTTAACTGGTACGAATAAAATGAAAATATATCAATTTATGGCAAAAGTTAGTATAGACAAACCCTATGTAGTAATTATCATATGATCATTCAAAAAATAAAATCTCGATATTTAGTTGTTTTGTGACAATGAAGCATCAGCTGCCAAAGCTGAAAGTCAAGAAGAAAATGATTGGATGGAAATTGAGCAAGATTCATTCAATCCGGAGCTTCGAGTAACAACTGAGAGTCGAGAAAACTTTAATCGAGGTATACTAGTTTGTTTCACTTGTGTATAGAAGATAACATAGATTTTTTTTTGTTTTATTTTTGAAGCATTACAAAAAGCAAGTCATCATATGGAATATAGTTTTCTGGCAGCATTTGCTGGTGTTATTTTATCATTGATATTATTAAAGGACAAAGTATGTATAGTATAAGAAATATCTTATCTTTTATTCAATATTATCCATCTTTTTAGACATATATTGATCGCATTAGAGAATTAATGCCGTTACAAAATTTTAATACGATTGCATTTATATTGAAAAAATTTTTTCTGTTCATGAACTTATCGGTAAATATCCTACCTCTCTATACAGGCTAAATATGTGTCTTACACATCTAAATGAAGATGAAGATCATCGAAACTAGAAGAGTTAACCAGTGTTTTAGTCTGTGACATGAATAATGATGTTTTATTTCTATTCTTAGAATGCATTTACTCAATCGGGTGTTAAAATATTAGAAGAAATCGTCGAAATGTTACTATCATTATGTTGATATGTAATCAGGTAATACAATTAACGTTAATAATTGGACATAAATGTCTATTTATTAATATAAGCGTTATCGAACCTCCTTTGACGTAGACATATTTCTTATATGTGTTGTATAATTGTGCATTTTCTTTTTAATTTTCCTCTTTCTTTCTCTCCTCATTTATCTCTTCAATGTAAAATCTCAAATCTATTAAAATCTGTCGTTTTTCTTTGTTTTCATTGTATTTTTAGACTCAAATGATGTTATTTTCTGTTTTTATGAACAACCTGTTATTACGATAATGCATGCGTTTTTCAAACTTTTTCTTTTTTAAAAAGATTATTATGTGCTCATTATTTGCAGGCGATCGGATAAGAGCGACATATTGCTCATTCTTATTCATATAATACAAAATGTTCTTTTGCTTTGTTTGTCGTAGTATTAGATATTTAGCTGAAGAAGAAATAATGAAAAAAAGAAGATAATTCAATATGGCTAATAATTACAGTAAGAATTGACATTGATTGTCATTTAACTTGTCGTTCGGCATTAATAACAGCAACATTCGAGTGTGTGTGCGTGTATATGAACGTGACTTTTTCATTTAGTGTTCTCTATCTTTTTTTGTATGTTCACAACATTGACAATTGTGCTTGTATATTTTCTTGTTTTGTCTAAAATATATGAAGCCTAATCAGTCAAAGTGTTTCATTACCAATAACACCTTTACTATGAGATATGAAAGTTTATGAACAGATGTTCTGAAATAAATTGACAAATATCATTCGGAAAAATACAAAAGTTACATCATCTCAAAACATTCTAAAGCGTAATTCACTAAGTATCCGTTCCCTGATACTTGTTCTAATCATGGTCTGTGAATAATTGCTCAACTCATTGTGATCAGTGAGGCTTATTATTAGCATACACGTTTTGTAAAAATATCAATATGTTCAGGTATGTGCGTCGAATAATTATAAATATGGTATTACTTTAACTGGCAGAAATTGTTTTGAACGAATATGTAACTGTTCTATTGAATTAAAAAGCTTTTTTTATCAATAATATAGTTTTAAGATAAGACATAAGGCTCGTCAACATTCTATACCAGTAATCGCAAAGCCTTCTTCCTTCGAAATAAGCATACCGAGCTCAATTGCTCTGTTTCTTTTCAACATTATTCAAAAAAGAGTTCTCTAAAACACTATGTTTTGAAGTGGACGGGTAATATGTTTCGTTCCATACCCCGCCACCCCGCCCGCCCGCGAGCTTTTCTTTAGAGCTTTCTGAAAGCTAACCATTGACGTGGAAGTTAGGGACACTCAGTATAAACATATCACGTATAAAAGCCAATTTTTTAAATTCATTCAAAAATTTGAATTTTCAGCTGTTAAAATTTATTATAAATTATATATAAGATCTTTTTTGTAAAATTTTTGCCACAAGTTGAATTTATAGTTTATAGCTACTAAATCGTATCCATTAAATTCGATTTATATCGGAAGCATAATATGGCGAGTTGATGAACAAAAGCAAACACGTCTGGAAAAACAGTGTACAACTCCAGCAAAAATGGTAGTTTCGTTTTGGGTCATCGGCAGTCCACTGTTGTAAGTAGAGGATTGTTTCAGTGATATCATATAAAACAGAACATCTTAATGCATCGTTCTTCATCAACACATTATACAAAATAAAAGTCTTTTTTGATGAAAAAATTTGAACAAGCGAAAATGCTTTTTTAGAAAAATTATTAATTTTAAATTTTAATTATCTCAGAGAGAAAGCAACGTACAAAATAATTTTTTTTTTCAATCGATAGCTTATGAAGTTCTCTACAAACGACAAGCAATTATTGCTTGATCGTATTTTGATCGTATGCTTCATTACTTTTTTATACCGATTTTACCAATGTCCACGCCTGTGGACATTGGGGTTTAAAAGGTTAACAGGAAAAATGAGTTAATTCTTAAATTAAATTAAATTCTTTCTCTGTGCCATTAACAATCACACACAATGAACCCAATTCAGTTTGGACACTTTTATGTTTTTGCTCCAAGAAATTTAATATAAAAGCACCCAGTGCGCAATACAAAAAAAATGTAAACTTGAACTCTAATTTCGACATCTAAATATCAAATGTATAAGTGACAATAAGAAAAACAAACATGTACTACTAAGCCATCGAATAGATGTTGCTCCTGAATCTAAATCTTTACCAAGAAAATAGCCAACGCCTATTCGACATCGAACATCATGCATATTAATATCGCACCCAAACAATCCTCCGGGACACTCTCGATTTGCTGATTTTTCAATATAATCCATAAATGTTGTTAATTGTTCAACATCTTCTTTAACTTCAGCTATACTACAATTTGTTATGTGTCGATTAGCACATTGAAAATAATCCAGTGTATCCTTACACCATTGAGCTTTCTCATAAATATTCCATGTTGTTTCAAATCGTACACGATTTTCTAAAATTTTTCCACATTGTATACCAGCCTAAATTAAGAGAAGAAGCAAAAGACAATTAAGTGATATTTTCTAATTCGTCGATATTAGTTATCTAATATTGCATTTGTATACTATTGATTTGACTTCCTATTATTCTTTTAAACTTTAAATTTTCAATAAATTTAAATCAATTTACGAACCGCTTCTACTGCACATATAGGCATTGGTGTAGTTGTTGATTGAGTTGTTGTCGTTGTTGTCGGTGGAATCGTTGTTTTACATTTATAATTGATAATGTTACTTTCACCAATTCCTGAACAATATTTACCAATACGCCACGCATTTTGTTTTAATTTTGCATCAGCAGCGGCTAATTGTGACGTATATTCTGGTCTTAGATCACAACAATGCAAACGTTCATTTACACAATCGGCATACGTTTTACCCTTATCGCAGTAGGCATATAATTGTTCTTTACTATAAAGATCGGCTTTCATCACTTCTTCGTCGTCTTTTGATGGCGGTGACGGACAATCACTTGCTTTCCAAATATCGCATCCCCAACAGTATTGTATACTTAAAATCAGATAAATAATTATTCTAATATTTATAAGTGACCAAAGATCTGCTAACATCTTGTTAATCGCATCATTTTATCCATTTTTGTATGCTGTTAGACATACATTAATTTTTTTCAACGGAAATATATTATTTTTGTAAATATATATCGAAATAATTGCACACGTCCTGTTTTAACGTAAAATATTAGATTATAAGATATATATATGTATAAATAGGTGTTTAGCAAGAATTTAAATTATGCAAGTTCACGTAATACAAACTATTCTACATAAGAGAGTATACAAGGAAGAATAGGAGGCCTTTCTTTACTCAAGTTTATACGATCTGATTGAACGATAGTTACGTTTGTAAACAAAAAAACGAATGGGATTTCGGTAGGCGAATAGGTTTAATACGCCGACATAAAGAGAACAAAAAAAAAGAAAAAAAATTATCGTTGATTGATTAATTGATATATGTACGTTAAAAAAATACTTAAACATCATCTTTATCTCGTCACATATAAACAGCTGATTAAAATGATTTTGTTTTATTTAATCTAAAAGTCATTGATAATGAGTTAATAAGATTATTCTCAAAGCAAAGATGATTTTTTTATTATTTTATCCTTGTACATTGATGATCTAAAAAATTATTTATTCAGATATTTCAAATCTTTCGATCAAAGGGTAAAGTCAAATGATCACTGCTTTCTACGGCGGTATTTTTTTTATGGTTTTTCATTTGAAAGAGTTAAAGTCAAAACTGCTAAACTTCAACGAATTTTCTTGTCACAAAATTTCATTGTCATAAAATTCAAAGAATAAAACTTACCAAAAGCAACTCTTACTTTCTACGGATCGACTTTTTACTCACACAACTTTAAGTTTGGATAATGAATTATTATTGTATGAAAAGATTGTTTAAAAAACTGTTGTTTTAACAGGCATTTAATAAAACTTAATTAGTTTCACTTACCCCTTAATTAGTTTCACTTACCCATTTTTTTAAGTCAATAGAGTAAATCATTTCAATCTTTTTAAATTTCTAAATATTATGAAAAAATATTGTTTTTCAGAAAAAAGAGCTTTGAGATAACCATTCCAAAAATGTACCAAGAAGCAAACTTTGAAATTTTCTGTGAACGAGAGTTTGAACAGAGTTTTAGAACATCAATGATTTTTTCGAGAATTAAACGATTTTATCAAGAAATTGTTCTGTCGACCTCTCAAAACTAACTGTGAGTTCTTCTGACATGGTATGAATATTTAGTTTTTGAATATTTTTGTAAGTTTATAGCTTAAACTTTGCTCTTACAAAAAAACAAAAATTAAAATCTCAAAAAAGAAAAAAGCTTGATTTTATTCATTATTGTTGACTATTTTTCTGTGTAAAGTTTTGTCCTTATCTTACTCTTGATTTTGAAAATTACCGTTTTGATAAAGTATCTATGTGTCTGAAGTGTAATTAATTATCTAAAAATGGCGATACTTTTTAAAAACTAACTAATTTTGGACTTTGAGATCTTTGTCTAAATACTTTTGCATGTATACTAATCCACTCGTACATTTCACAAGATACTTGCTGCCAGTAAAATCCCTGGAATTTTATAACTACTATTATATATTTCTGAAAATAAGATGAGTGAACAAAACGCTTATAACTCGGGAAAGGAAAGACCTAGGGACCTGCGGTTTTCACCATTAGAAAGAGTCGCTCGTGGGACGTTCATTCATGTAGAAAGTAAATTTTTCGGAAGAGGTTTTCACGGTAGATCTCGTCCGATAAAACCCGTAGTACCTCAAAATTAGTCGACAAAAAACTTCTTTTTTTTTTAAAGTGGGTCATAGATTATTAACTACCCTGATTCCGAATACCACCATGCCAGCTGCTCTTAGGTTTTCAGAGAGCGGTTTTCTGGAAAACCAGTTTTTCGCAAGCTCTAAAAAATAAGCAAAACCTGTTCTTAATGAGTTGGGATTGTAGCCCGTAAATTTCTGATTAAAGTGAGACATCCCCAGCTCTAGAAGACCTTTCGTTGCAAAGTTATAGAATTTACAAGCGAAGGCCTACATGTTCATTGTCGGCTCAAAGCTACAGAAATAAGGAAAAAACTAATTTAGGCCTTCTCTTGTAAATTCTATAACTTTGCAACGAAAGGTCTTCTAGAGCTGGGGATGTCTCACTTTAATCAGAAATTTACGGGCTACAATCCTAACTCATTAAGAACAGGTTTTACTTATTTTTTAGAGCTTGCGAAAAACTGGTTTTCCAGAAAACCGCTCTCTGAAAACCTAAGAGCAGCTGGTATGGTGGTATTCGGAATCAGGGTAGTTAATAATCTATGACCCACTTTAAAAAAAAAAGAAGTTTTTTGTCGACTAATTTTGAGGTACTACGGGTTTTACCGGACGAAATCTGCCGTGAAAACCTCTTCCGAAAAATTTACTTTCTACATGAATGAACGTCCCACGAGCGACTCTTTCTAATGGTGTAAACCGCAGGTCCCTAGGTCTTTTCTTTCCCGAGTTATAAGCGTTTTGTTCACTCATCTTATTTTCAGAAATATATAATAATAGTAATAACTAAGGTGCCAAGCTTTCACGGAAGGTTACTAATCTTTTTTTGGAAGATTAAAATAATTTATTTGGCCGATAACTCCATTTATACGAACTTTTAAAGGGTATGATGGATGAGAATTTTTTCTTCAACTAGTTTCGTATTTCGTTAGACATAGTGAATGAGAGACGTTTCTTTGCACTTGCAAGTATAATAAAATTTTTGAAAAAAATACTCTTGACGATGACGAAAGTCATGAGAGTGTGCCAATGGTTAAGATGAATGATCTGCAATTCGATATATTTTGCGACAAAAAGTTTTGCTTTAAAAAATTGCAACACGAATGATCATCATGAAAGTTCGCATTTTGAGATGGAATTTTTCTGATTAAAATTAATTTTATCTGTTAAAGCATAAATATCAAATTTTACAGTAAGTTTTAGCTGTAACTTAATGTTGTAGTGAAGGCTAACATTCTGTACTCGCCCCTTAGTTGTGACTGGATCCTTTTAGTGAGCGACAACTCACGATCCAAATAGAAACATAAACAATTATTATCTATCGACAAACATTCAAAAGCGATCATTAAGAGATACAAGATGATCCAGTTTTTCGTTACTTCAAAACTCAGTTATAAAACTTTTCACATTATTTTGATATATTTCAATAGATACAGAACTTTCTGCATTAATTAAGCGTAGCTCGAACATTGTTTATGAAATATTGTTTGAAATGTATTATTTAGTACGTTAGTAAGAGAATGAAGAAATTTTTGGCTACAATAAGGGAAACACTGTTTATCTAAACAGATTTATTTGAGAGAAAGTGTGAAAAAGTATATAGACTATTAAGCGTCCACTTTTGTACTACTACAAGTATCAATTACAGACAAAAAAGTGGATGGTTTTAGTAAGCAGAAGTTGACAACACAAAAACGATGATGAAACAACATCAAAGAGAGAGTTAAGAGGACAATACAGACGGAACGATTTTTTCTTATGTACTTTCCACTTTGCTAATGTGGGTCAGAGATGGACAACTCCAACTTCAGAGTTGAGCTCCTTTTTAGTGGAGTTAGAGTTGCGTTTTTATTAGATTAGAGTTGAATTAAATTCAGATTTTTTCAACTTCAACTGTAGTTAAAAAATTTTTGCAACCCTGAAAAGTTTTTCCGTTTTTTTGTTACACCGGTAGAGAAAAAGTTTTTAGTGGTTTTCTTTCCAATTTCATTGATGTAAAATGGGCAAAAGGTACGCTTTCAAAATTAACATTGTTGAAATGCAATTTTGAATTGTTAAACTCACTTTTCTTGTGTAACAAAAGCGAAATAAAGAACTGCTAATAAAATAACAAAGAAATGAATTAAGACAATATAATTTCCTATCGGAGTTGAAACGGAGTTGGAGTTAGAGTTGAACTTCTTTAAGTGGAGTTGAGTTGAACATAGCCGGAGTTGCTCATCTCTGATGCGCGTGTAAGTGACTAATCAGAGGGAAAAGTATTTTGTGTTAGGCTGTTTCTATAATAGTTTAGTTTTCCTATAAAATCATTAAATATAGAATTTGGTTGAATGAGTTTGCTGATGGCACCAAATTTGAGAGGTAGGAGAGAAAGAGTTACGGACCTTGTTGTAAAATTTGTTTTGTTAAACTGAATGTATTTGGAAAACTGATAGCAATTATCACCAAGTAGTTGCAATATTACAGTAAAAAACGGCCAAACGAATCAACTTCTACTCAATCACAGAGAAAAACACAATGTTTTGAAGAGGATGGCGATGATGCGAATGAATAAGGTGATTTGAACAACAATGAACGGTTAGTTCAAACGCCTAGCAGATAATAACACAAGGAGCAAGAATATATTGTTCACCCGTTCTTCCACCACCAATAGCAACAGAAGAAGAAAGGGAGAAAAACGAAGAAACACCATTGTCTGTATGATACGTGATCGATATTCAAACAAGTAACACTACTACACCATCATTCGCTGGAAGTATAGAAGTCAATGAAATAATTAACATTGAATCTTTATTATCGAATGCTGTACTTTTAACTCAAAATGAAATTCTTAAACAACGTTCAAAATCAGTAGTAGTCAATGAGAATCATTCGATCGGAAATAATAATAATCCAGAATCATGTAGATTATCGACATTAGCATGAGATAATAAAGAAAATACACCAGAAACAACTAACGAAAGAACAAAATCAGAATCATCAAGAGTGAAATACATTAATCGATGTAAATTTTCACCAATTGAACAATTGGAAGAAGATGATCAATCGAATAACTGTGATCGAACAACAGAAATTGCAAAACCAATAGATGATGAACGAGTAATAACAAAATCTAGTCAGTGTTTTTGGTACTGCTTATCGTATTTTTTACGATTAATTATTAAATGAAAGCTGATAAAGAATTTATAAAACGAAAAAATGAAGAGTTTATCTTTAAATAACACCGACATCGAGTCACAGACGTTTTAACACAGATCTTTTGTACCACTAATACAGTACATGCTGTTATTTAGCTTAAACAACATGTTTTTTTCATGTTTTTGTACGTTCATCGAACTCTTAGAAAACATACATATTCACTTTCACATAAATGGTTACTTTATCTCTCAAATTAAATAGTGAATTTTCATCCACGACTTGTAAAACTCAGTTGCAAAATCTTATGTCTCTAATGTAGCAGCGGCCACTGTACAGCTCACAGAGTAGAATTGTGACATAATGCATCGACTAGCAAAGAACTATAGTTAAAAAAGACCTAACTATATATGGCGCTATTGTATTGAAGACTAGGTGAAATGTAATCATCAAATTTATACGAAACTTTTTTCGGTAATTCGGAAATAGAGATTTTTTACGTGAAGGACGGAACTGGGATTCCTACAAAACCTAAACGGATATTGAATGATTGCAATTCTCTATACCCTTTTAGATTTTGCAATAAAATTATTTTTTTTAGAAAGTTCAGTCTTCAGTCTTTTGATTCTAGAAGCGGCACACTGATGATGGATATTTACATATCGTATTCTACGAAGAACGGACATGCATCAACCTTTAAAATAAAGCATTTTTGTATTCTTTAAACACACATTCAAATTGGACTGGTAGAGTACTCTAAGAATGAAAAATCATTCAAGCTCACCATTGTTTGATCCTCATCACACATCAAAATCGGTATAGAGTATGTCCTTCCTCTCTTCGCAATAACTGGTTTGTTAATTCTAATTCAGGAATGAAGAAGCTTACTTACAACCGTCTCATAAAATATCAAAAACTGTATGGCGCCAGAAATATCACTAAAAACTATTTACCCATTAGCAGAAATAACAACTAAAATGAAGATGTCATGTGTTCGTAATGAATCACGATAAAATTTGACCATGATCGAACACATGTATGATTGAAATCTAATGGCAAACAGTCTGAATAACGGTATCATAAATATCGAAACAATTCAGCTTATTATGATCATTATTCGTTATGTAGTCTTGACGTCATTGATCATTATGATTGCGCATATTCTATACGCATTATTCACAGCATATCGTCAACGTGACGAAGAAAATTGAAAAGATTTAGATATTAAGTCAGTGTTGATTAATAGAAGACGCAACCAACAACGTACTGAAATCTAAGCACCCAATTTCTGCAGGAAATTGGTGGCTGCGTCGTGTGCAACGTTTACACTCATATTTTAAAATTATGTTTGTACCGTACTTGTCTGAAGTATATCCTCAAAGATGTTATCAAATATCTTCACTACATCCAAAGTTTTTGATACGCTACGCTATTATTGAGAAGCTCATCGTGCCTATTAGACAATAGACGAAATGGTTTTAAACCCGTTCATTCGTCCGACATAGAAATTCGACAAAAAAATACCGAAAATTTGTAGAACAAATGTCAAGTCAAAAACATCGTTCTAAATTAAGCCAGACGACAATCAATACTTTTTAAATAAATATATACAATTTTCAAACACTAATGAGTTATTGAAATATAACTGTTAGGTTTTGTGTTACACGCAATAAGATTATAAAACCGTTAGTTATTTTCTGTTTGCTCTTAATCTTTCTTTATTCTACAATCATAACCAGTCTAAACGACTATTTCAAGTTAGAAAATTACCGTTTTTAAAAACAGATGTTTTTATTCACACAGTTTAACATGCTATCGTTTTGACGAAATGTCACGACCAGTTGTTTGTTTTAATAATTCTTAATACTAGTGCTACTGCGTACTGAGTATGTAATATAGTGACTGTCATCCAATCAAGCCATTTAAAAAGAAGAATATAGTTTAGTTAAAACCACCATCAACGAAAAGAATATTGAAAAACAAAACAAAATAAAATTTGATAAAAACGAAACCATTTCTTTATTTTATACAAAAAAAAGCACACATTGCCGGAATATTAAACAAGTAGAAAGAAAACGTATGGACATCAACAGAAGAATAACGACAGCCTTATGAGCAAGTGATAATACCAGATAAATAACAACTCACTTATATATACGCTCACTTATTTAATCTAGACGAAAGACGAACCAATTGCCCTAAAACGTTAACCAATGTAAGGTGTAGATATAATTTGAAACTGTCCAATAGTTTTTGTAAAGATAGGAACCAAAAAAATATTTTACGCAGATCAAGACTTTATTATATTGCTCACGCACTTCTACCGTTCTACTAACAGTTAATATTTACCCTTTCATATATTGATTTAGAACAGAAAATTACGGAAGAGATGTACAGAGTTGTTCATATTTCTTGATCATGAGTAAAAATGATTTTTTGTGTATAAAATATACCATTTGCATCTTTACAAATATTGTGATAACCATCGAAATGCTTCACCATAACCTTCTCGCCTTAAAACACTACACATAAATACTTCCATTGGACGACCGGTCACTTCGTTGCGAGATACATTGCCCTAAACAAAATATATATGCATTTGAAGTAAAAGAGTGCACTGCTGACAGAGATGTTATAATTATACCGTACCTTTCCTGTCGACGATACACCCAAAATATAACGTAATTCTTGTTCACTAACAGCACCAGGCACATCAATTTTATTCCCAAGTACAACAACAGGCGCATTTGCTACTTGTTCGTCTGTCAACAAACTCTAAATATGACAAAAAATGAAAGACTAATGTAACAATGAGTTAAAAAATTTGCGAACAAAACCATTTTTTTCGTCTGACAATAATACAGTTTCTCTCAGTATAATGTTTGATTACGTAAATTTAGAAAAGGTAGTTTAGCTAGGTCTGAAAGATTAAATAACTTATGAAACTATATTAATTTGTATGCCAAGATTTCCTTCATGGTAATAAGACAAAACTCATTATGAACATTATCGAGTCTCGATTCGAGAAGAAACGTTAACAAACTAGATCTTTGTTTCAAACCGTGTGATTTTATGATACTTACATCTAGTTCTGTCTTAGCTTCCATAAGTCGCTGTCGATCAACAGCATCAACCAAAAACACAATGGCATCAACAGCTGGAAAATAGTCTTTCCAGACTCTTCGAGCTAAACATAAAAAATGTGCAAAAATCAATTATTCAATCATTAATAAATGCAGTACCTTGAGCATGACCTCCCAAATCAAATGTTGTAAATTTCATATTACCCATAACTAGCTCTTCAGAAGCTAAAATGCAACAACGAAAGAAAAGGTGATAAATTCAAATATTGTTCTTTTTCATTTTTTTTTCTATTACTTGGATGCAAAGTTGGTACGTGCTGAGACAGACGATCATCTTTTAACATGTGCAATAAGGTGGTCTAAAAGAGAAATATTTTATTTGAAAGACTATTAAAAACGATAATAAAAAGTTTTAATCACTTTTCCAGCATTGTCAAGCCCCAAAAACACAAGTTTTCCACTTTTTTTGTGCAGACCTAAATTTATGTAAAAAATAAAGTTAGACTAGTAATAAAGGCAGTTAACCATTATTTTTTGCTAACCTAATGTACTGAGTATGTTTGTAAACCAATCCCATAAAAAACTCATCCTTCACTAGATGTTTTGGGAAATATGTGGCTAATCTAAAAAGAATAGATTCAAGTTTATAATACATCCTAATATACATCATCAGGAAGATCAAGAAAAGTACTTCGAATACCAAGGTTGTTTCCATATACGCAAAAGATACACTATAGGAAATAAAAATTAATAGTAAGTATTTCATCAACGCTTTTGCATACAATAAGATGTTCGATGGATAATAACAGAAAAAGAAAACCCTAATCCCCTCTTTAGCTCTAAAGAAAAGTTGACGGCATTTCGCAGCGAAGCATAGTAATATTATAAAAAATGGTAAATCTACTCAACACTTTTTTGAAGTTGCGATCATTCTTAATTTTACTAATTAATACATAGTGCGGTAACAGCTTTCTAGTTATTAGTCTATTTTTAATAAAAACAATTTTCTTAAGATATAAAAAGAAAAAACGGCCACGTATGCCATATAACCAATCAGAATTTACCTCTGGACCTCTGCGAAATAGCTTATTCGTTGATAAATAGCTTTTTCTCGAGATCAAAAAACAATTCTATTAAGCCGAATACACATTTCCAGCAGTTTTATTACTAACTACTAGCGTCTGGAATAAGCATACATCAGCGCGTTAGGGTACGGCATCTAGATCTCCCGCGAGTTACAAAGGTATCGGCAGCGATGAGACTACATCGGGGTTTTCTTTAAGCTAGTATGGAAAGGTTTCTTTCTTTTTTTGAACAAATTATGAAGAGCTTGCGTATGTATAATGTATTATATGTATTATCTGACTTTTCTAATTTCTGCTGAACCGAACTTTATTGGTATGTGGCTGCTTATATATCGAAACACAAGCCATGTCAGAGATGGATAACCTCAACTCCGGAGTTGGCCTTTGTAGTGGAGTTGGAACTGCGTTTTCATTAGATTAGAGTTCAGTTGAATTCAGATTTTTTCAACTCCAAGTCCAGTTAAAAAATGTTTACAATGCTGAAAATTTTTTTCTTTTTTTTTACAGAGCTAAAGTACTTATAGACAACAAATTGTAAACCATGGGAGCAATCAAAAAATTTTTGATTATTGAACCGTCTGCATTACTTTGAAAAAAAGACCTGGACTATTTTATAGAATTAAAATTTTGTTTTTCAAAATCACACCTGAAAAAGTCCTAAATCTCCAAAATCTTAATGGCCCCTCTGTTCGCACAATCCGCCATGCAGAAACGATCGATCGAATGTGCCATGATCTGGGCGTATTGGTTAAAGCTTTTGCTATACATCAGTGGATAGAGGATTTCATGTAGAATTTCTTGGGACTCTAGAAAATCTATGCTCAAAAAGTTATGATTAAAACGCCGCTAGCTATATTTCGATTTATTTTTTGGAAAAGTGGATCTCGCCTTTTTAATCATAACTTTTTGAGGTTACATTTTCTAGAGTCCGAAGAGATCTCAAAATGCAGAAAAGAGTTGAATATTTAATTTAAGACGTTTCCGAGATGTCTATGATTCCACTATGTTTTACTCGGACCAGTGCCTTCTTATCCTATGTGCTAATAGCACAATTAGCACAGGGGTCCGGCTGACTCAGGAGCCCAATCGAACGACTTAAGCCTTGCATTTTGTTATTATTAAAAAAAATACAAATTGATGTGTTGAAAACGTTAATGATCAGCACAGGGGGCACAAATTTCTTAAAACGGCTCTGACTCGGACTTTTCTTCGAGAACAGTGCAATCAAATTTTAATGCGTTCGTCAAGCAGACAATGCTTTTGTCATGTTATAGTCTCATCTGAAAAGGAAAAATCAGTATGAATATAGAGGCAGGTAGGAAATTTAGAGGATGTACACAGCAAATTCAGCTCTCTGTTCCCTTACCTAAATGGGACTCATTTTTGCTAGTCACAAAGTTACACTATCGGATTTTTGGACAAGTTTTCTTTTGAGACAGATCTCTTTCATGGATTAACTAAGCCCGTATATGTCACAAAGAAGAAAGAAAAACAACTTTTGATATAAAAGGGTCTCTTAAAAGGAATGTTTCTTAAGATAGCGGAGACGCTGATTTCATCATGTTTTACCCGGTTTTCTCTTCGGGAACATAATGCAATCAGGGTCAATCATTCGCCTCAGACTCACTTTGAAGTTGAGATCAAAACTTGTACACAGTAGTTTTATTAACACGCCCTCTCTTTGTCTAAATCCTTTCTACTTGTCATAAGAATCATATTAGTAGTTTTTTCTCATGTATGTCTCAATTATGGTTTGCCATATAACTGGCATTTGATCGCAGAATAAAAATGAGAGTGGTTAAATGTTTTATAGCTCGCCTGTGAGTTTTACCGTAAGGTAACGTTTGCCATATGTGAAGAAAATATTCACGCTTGGACTTTCAGAGAATGTATATCCGTAGATACTATCGCTAGGATCAGTTAGTTATTAGAGCCAATCTAATATTCTGCGAATGAGGCGGAATGGCTAAGCCCCAATCCTCCGTGCGTCAAGCAGAACCGAACTGATCATCGCTACATCCTGAGAGTCACTAACGGCAAAGCGATATTACACATTCCTTTTAAGAGACTCTTTTATATCAAAAGTTGTTATTACACAGGTTTTCTGCCCACAAGTGGAATAGATTTTCAAGTTTGAACAATTAATCTGGATGATAAACAGATGAAATTAGTTTTTTCGGATACCGTTGGGTAAGAAAACTTTCGATCGCTAGATAATAATTATTTTCGAGGATTTTTCATTCTTTTCTGTGACATATACGAACTTAATTAATCTGTGAAAGAGATGTGTCTCAAAAGAAAACTTGTCCAAAAATCCGATAGTGCAACATTGTGACTAGCGAAAATGAGACCTACTTAGATAAGAGAACCGAGAGCTGAATTTGCTGTGTATACCTGAATTTACTACCTGCCACTTTATTTATACCGATTTTTTCAAAAAATAAAATTTTTTGTGTATGAGACTCTCGCGGGACTTTTGTGGAGTCCCGTAGGACTCCCTATGGATTTTTTGAGAAAAAAAACTTCCGAGGGAGTTTTTTACAAAACGGGACTCCCGCGGGACTTCTGCCGGGACTCTCGACTAGGGGATGCACAACTTTCGATTGATCTATTCTATGTTTTATAGAGAATTGTTTGCTCTACAAAAGTAATATGAGTCCATGAAATATTCACGGATCCATGAGTGTGGAGCAGAAAAGATCGAATTTATATCAAGATGAGTGTTTTTTATATGATCGATTTTGTTCGTATTTTGAAGATTTACGAACTTAAAGGGCAAGTATCATACGCCGTTATGTTCATAATTGAATACTCCATCCAATAGTATATTAATTAAAAATTTGCTCTAGCCTTTACGGAGAAATACGACAGATATTCAAGAAAGAACGTTTTCTGGATATGCGGTATGTCACACTCAATAAAAATGCTCTTACTCCGTAAGAAAGTGACTCTTGAGACTAGAACATTGAATTTTTAGGTCATCAAAGACAGGCGAACCAAGTGAGGCTATTCTTATTAAAAACTAATCTTTGAAAAGTTACACTCTCTGGTAGAAATCTCGATTGTCTCTTGGAACGTCTGTTACGTACATAGGCGGCGCGCCATAGTAGCGAGGGGTAGCAATAGAAAGTTATTGCTACCCCTAATAACACATATTCTGAGAGTTGTTAGAAGAAGTGGGAACTGGAAGTTGTTATTATTTATTAAAATTATGAGTTTAAAAAATTTATTGCTACCCCTAGGAACTCTAACTTGCGCCGCCTATGGTTACGTATGATGAAACCGTTTATGAAGAAACGGTTATGTGAAGAGGATTAAAAGTCGCCGAGAAACTGTTGATCCTCCCTCAGCACCATATAATTCAGAAAAGATATATGCCCACTCGAAACTAAAAAATCTGACTTATTAAGACTCTGCACTGGCAACGATAACTGCGAAGCAGGATATTCGTCTTGCATACAATTCTAAAAATCTTTTTTCATGAACAGTTTCTCTCTGAACTCAAAGTTGTTTGGCTTTTAAACATTGGTCCACTATAAAATCTTCATATTTCTGATATAGATATAATAAGTAGAATTCGCGTATCCGTCGATGTTTTACTGATCTTTCTCGTCCTCTCATATAAACAAAATTTTACACATGTTTTTTAGTGGTACTAGTAGCAAAGCAGTAGAACACGTGAGTGTTACATGATATGACATTATCTTATCATTCAATTTCTTCTGAATAAAATAGAATTTTGCACTGCAAAAACGCTATACGGTTATAGTTGTTACATCTGAACGATATACGAAATTATTAGATTTTCTTTGTTAACGAAGCGCATTATATTCGGCGAGACGAACGCGATCTAATTACTACAAATTTAAAAATATTAGTGCACCTCGAATTGTGTAACCAGTGTGGCATATGGAATCGGCATAAAGTAAGCGATATAATGTTAGCAAACAATTGAAGCCATTATAAATTTCCACTACTAAAAATTAAAAGACACTGTACATACAAGCCATTTTATTCTACTAAATATTTATAAAAATGAGATATCGATTTTTGATTTTGCTTGAGTGTTTGTTTACACAGCTAGCCACTACTCTTCATCGTCTTACCATGCGCGGAGACCTTCGACAATTCACTAATAATAGCAGCTTTGTTTCTTTTATTAGAACATTTTTCTGTTTAGTTATTTAAACAAATAAACATAAGAAAAAAACAAAATGCTCAGTTCTTTGGGATGATACTTCTTGTTCTTCACGAAATTAACAGAAAAACTGTTTCTTAAAAAATAACCAAAACAAACTTCATAAAAAGAGTAACAAGGAAAACACACACACACACTCAAACACCTGCGATATACATGCAAAATAAAAAAGATCACAGTTTTAATATTGGATAATGTGAACTTATATTAAAATCAAAATCAATAATTTCACCTCTTTTATGACCGGCAGCCAACAGCCGTACAACAATCATATTTTTTATAGCTACTTTAATATAAGATTCAACATTTTGCACAGATGTAAAACCAATTGTAAATGTACGATTTAAGGGTGTTTTAGATGATGAATGTTTTAATGTTATCCGATTAAGATATGTTTCAAAATAGGTTTTTGCTTGTTGAAAATGAGCAACAGAATCTTGATACAAATTATTGACGCCATGACGACTATCACATAAATGTTGAATATTTTTAAAATCATGATATTTCATATAGTGTGGTGCACATAAATTACTAAATGCCATAAAACGATGATGATAACGAACTTCATCTTTTAAAAAATATGGTGATGGTGTTAAATCACTACTAAAAAGAAAAGAGTAAAAATTAATTAAAAGAAGAAAATTAACAGCTATTATCGAACTCTAATTAAATTACATAAGCTCAATTTTAACATTTATTAAGAATCAATTCAGTACCTGGCATCTTTTGTTTTCTTAAACTTTAACCGTCCATCCATTTCTAATGCTTTTAAACATCGATGTAATGCTGTACACATTGAAAAATGTCCTTGTAATACATTGAGTTCATTTTCATAATGAGACGAATGCTGATTGTTATTACTATAGATTCCATTCATTGCTGTAGGTGGTACTGTTCCATTTGTTGTTATTTGTTGTTTTCGTTTTGATTTTTTTTGATTGTCAACATTTGTAATTGAATTTGTTGAAGTGATGTCAGAGGAAGATGATGATGATGTTGATATATTTAATATATCACCACTCATTTGAGGATTATTATCGATTAATTGACGTATAAAGCGATTTGAGATTTGTAATTTTTGTTGTTTTTTACCAGTTGTCACTGTTGTCGGATTATTTAATTGTTGAAAAAATACTTCTGTATTTGTTAGAATATAATCAGCTCGTGTATAAACGGTTATATGTGTAAATAGAATAATTTGTGCAAGATAAAAATAAAGATCGTATAATTCACGTTTTGAATATAAATCTAATTCAAATCCTAAATAAATATAATATTCCATAATGCTTAGTGTCCAATGAAGAATAAAATTTAAAAAATATGATGTCTTTTCAATTGTCGTTATCACTTGATTGTTATTTATTGTTTGTTGTTCAAATATATTTAACATAAATTTTTGTAACCAATTATCTAATTTTTCACTTGCATCTTGTAATACACTAAATTCTTCTAATAAATTTGATAATTTTTCTCGCGTTCGTGCACGATTATTACATAGAGAATAGAATAAATCTGAAAATGGCACAGCCGATCGTTGAAAAAAATTTTCAATAATATCATAGGTAGTCTGATCAATTTGAATATATTTTAATGCGAATATAGGTGGAAGAATAAATGATTTCATTTCTAGTTTAATATAGTCACTAAATACAAATTGACCAAATATTTTACGTCCAGATAATAGTTGGCCTTGAGCAGACGGTAAATAACTCAAAAGTAGTAGAGAACGAATAAAAAGTGTAGGTTTATAATATGTTGAATATTCAATAAAATATTCATATGATAATTGTAATGTTTTTTTATCAGTTATTTCTAATAGTTTTAGAATATGTTCACATAGTTCATTAAATGTTTTATAAACAATTGTTGACGGTACTAAATAGCGTATAAAACGATTGAAAGCTGGTGGTAATTGACGATAATTGTAATATGGATCAAATGTATATTCTAAATCAACAATCGATGATGGAGAGATGGAAAGTATTGTAGTTGATAAATCAGATTGTACTGACTTCGTTTGTTCTTCAAGTGGACTGCTAGCCGATGAATTCTAGACATGAAGAAAAATATAGTACAATTAATAAAGAACAATAATTGAAAAAAGTAAATAGGAAATGACATTCACATTTTTGCTTGATATTATTACTATGTTTAAAATATACATACTGTATCAAGTTTTTGATCATTAACGATTGTTGTTTTATTATCTGTAGTATCTGTTTCTTGATCATTGATTAATACTGTTGGCTGTATTGTTTGTAAACATTCCGTTGTTTGTTTTAACAGTTTTAATATTTCTTCTCCATTCAATTGTGTTTGTTCACCCGTTTGACTTACATAATTAAATTTTAAACATATTTGATAGAATTGTCTTAAAAATTTCATTCTAATTGTTAATTGTTGTGTATAAAGCATATCTTGACTAACATCTGTTGTCTCAGACAAATGACGTAATTTTCTATAATATTTTGCTAGATCACCTTCACATTTTTTCATATCATTAATACATTGTTGTTCTTTAATTGAATCTTGATAAAATTTAAAATTATATATCAATGTTCCACTAAAGTCTTCTTCTTCATAGATTCCAACTTTCAATATAATTCGATCTCGTATATAATCAATTAGTTTCAAATAGGCAATAGCCATTGTTCGTAATATATTATCTTTGATCATATGTGGCTCATGTAAATATAAACATGTAAAAACGGTTAACGCTAGACTATGACCATCTAACCACATATGAAATGATGATAATAGTTGATCAAAAATATAGACTAATTCTAAATTAGAAAAGTTTTCAATTTTTAATTGTTTTCGATCGATTAATTGAGCGATGGTTAGTGTTAAATTTTTTTCTTGTGATTGTGATTGTTGATGAAAATGATTTTTAATTGACATACCACCATCCATTTTTGGATCCTAAATAGAATGAGAGAAATTATACTTCGTTGAATTTATCAAACAAGAATGAAGAGATTACCATTATTTCTAATGCAGTCATTGCTTCAAACAATGTAAAGTCCGCATCTCGGAGTATTTCGCCAACATTCAAAAGTTTCGATAGTGACGAAAATTCATCGGTGATATTTTTCCATTTGTATGATACACCATTGATAGTTTCTTCCATATCAAAAAAATGCACATATAATCAAAAATAACACAAAGTTAACATGGTTATTGTTGCTGACGATCTATAAACTCATCATTCATCTAGAATTAAAGATTTCTATACATAAACATGATGAAATTTTATACTTCACCTCGAGTTTCCGTTATTATACAAAAAATGTCTTTAAATCATTTAAATTTATACTAGACTATCAATATAATGTTTAACAATTCTCAAAATTTAAACACAAGTTTAGGTACAAAAAACAACAACTTATATTTTGAAAAGATTATTTACCTAATTACAAAACCCTGCTACAGTTGAGAAGAAAAGTACTAAAATATTATTAGACTATAGTAAGAGAACCTTGAACGAGAGAAAAAAGGTTAATATATGCGAGGGCTGGATATAATATTTTCTGTCGAGTATCTTTTTTGGTCGCTCTTTTATGTCTCATCACAAAAAAGATACACCACGAAAGAAATAATGCCAATAAAAATCAAAAGATACACGAGTTCTTATAATCGGTGGGATATTTTCTTTCTGGATTTAGCAAATTAAAGATTTAAAATAAAAAAATTGACCTACTACCAGCAACTTTCTCTCGTAAGATATCTCACTCCAAGGAGTGATCTCATGTCTATGACTAACTGTTTACCAGTGAGTACAGAACGGTGGTGCAGGAAAAAAGGAAAAAGGAAGGATAAAATGCATTGTCTCCATATATAAACAAAATATAATTTTTCCTTCCTTTTTCCCTTTTTTCTTGCACCACCATCGAATTCATAGATCAAGATAATCTTTCGACAATTTGTTTCAGCAAATTTGTCGAAAGATTAACCCACAAAAATCTCTATAAATTTTTTTGTTTCTCTTTCGTTCGTTTTTCTTTCGTCCAAAGAACCAGGTCTGACGATATTCAAGAATACATCAAATGAGACAGAAACGATACTGCAACCAATGAAAATCATAACAAAATAGAGGTCATTTTTTTCATGTCACTTTTTCACAATGGCAAAATTTTCATGAACTAGCAAATTAATGAAGGCTTATCTTGACCGAAATCATATGATAATATGATCGATATAACGTTTTATTGGTCGAAATTTTGAGATAATCAAAACAAACCTCATGACCTCTGTGTTTAGATAGATAAAGTTTCTGTTTTTGTTTACCAAAGGGTAGCCGATCTAGGGCAAATCTTTCTCATTTTGATTTTGTTTTCTTAATTAGATTATTCATTTCTAGAGATTTGGCTAGAAATATATAATTTTGATGCACAAAGTAATATAATAGCTCACTAGATAAGATCATAGATTTTGTATACTTAGGAGAAAATATTGTTTGTTTATTATTAAGAATTTCGAAAATGACAAAGGTTTAAAATATATATTAATAAATACGTACTTGACGTAATCAGCCTTTAAAAGCAAACCCAGTGTTTTCTTGTGTTTTGTTATTCTTTCTTTACTATCTCTCTGTTTCGTATACTAGTTTAGTTTTATTTTTATTTTTCTGTTTATGCATTCTTTTTGTTGTTGTTGTCACTCGAGTCATTGTTATTATAGATCGGAGACCTTTGATGACTCTCGCTTTTTGTGACTAAATAAATCATTCATTCATTCAATCATTCAGTTTGTTATTTGAAATAGCAATATGAGCAAAGCCTTGCTATAGCTTTTCTCTTCTATGTATTCTGCATTACATAGCATCGGGCACAGTGAACGCAGCCTGATATTCAATCTGGAATAATCCGTTTCTGTGGATTTGCATCAGTTCTTCCATACTTGACTGTTCCACAAATAATGGCTCTTAAAATGTACACGTTTTAAACGGACTCAAGTAGGTATGTTACAAACCCAAATCCAAGCGACTTGGATGTATTGGGTTTGGGTTTTGGGTACCCAAGTCTTGGACTTGGGTTTGGGTCAGTTGTCAAAGTACATTAATATTCTTCTTCAATGAAACTTAGCAGTAGTACCTTACGCTCTTCTGCCATACTAGTCATTTATCTTTTTCTCTTCATCGTCGCTGTTTTCGCTTTCAAAACTTCACCTTTTTTTCCTTAATTTTCCCTATTCTTTTACACCATTTTTTATAGTGTACACCGATCATTTGTGGCATGTTATCAGTGCTTATTTTTTTAGTATTTTTCTCTGTTTCAAGGATGAGGATAATATGAACAAGATAAGTAGAATAAAACATTCAACTGTTGGATATTTGAACTAATCCAAAATGAGCTCTTATCGTTAGAGTTAGGCATTATGTATGCCCACAGGCCGAAATAAACATCTTACATCCTGTTTTCTCAAAGAGCCACAACAAAAGAAGGTATCTCAGTTAAAAGGAGTCTTTTAATAACCCAAATCTGACCCAATATCCAAACTCAAGTCTCAGACTTGGGTACCCAATACTCAAACCCAAATCCGAGACTTGGGTACCCAATCCCAAACCCAAGTCCAGACTTGGGTTTGGATTTGTAACATACCTAGACTCAAGTATTGGACGCGATGAACGTCTGCTCAAATACTTCAGGGTACAACGTTTTTGTATCCTCAAGTAGAACATGAACTTATAAATAAATAGACTTTTACATTTTTTTTGCGTTTGATTGTTAAATGAACTTTTATGTTTACGTTTGATTGTTTTTGATATATTGCATTAACTGTGTGTTGCTCTTTTTCAATTGCAGGGCTTTATATTACTTGATAAATATGTCTGCAGCAGTCACATCAGTTGATAGCATTCCTCAAGTATTATCTGGCCTAAGGACAGCATTTAACTCAGGCAAAACAAAATCTCTGAAATGGCGTAAGGAACAATTAGAAGGTTTGTTATTATTATTTGATGAACAAAAGAATTTATTTGCCTCTGCGGCGAAAGCAGATTTTCATCGACCAGAACACGGTATTGTCAGTTATAAAATACCGTTTTTCATATCACTAATGATTTTCTTTAATTAGAAACATTAATGTTTGACTGTGCATCAATTCGTTCTGAGTGTGTATATGCATTAAATCATATTGATGAATGGGTTAAAGATGAAAAAAAGTCAGATGCACTTTTATTTGCAAATATGGATAAATATGTTCAAAGTGAACCATATGGTGTCAGTTTAATTATTGGCGCTTGGAATTATCCATTTTTGGTGACGCTTGTTCCACTTGTAGGTTCGATAGCAGCTGGTAAGAACAGATCAGATTCAAGCGTGATAGTTATTTAGGCAGTTATGGGGAATCGTCAATCGTTATTTCCTTGACTTTAGTCTAAGGTCTTACAAAATGGTTGTCTGTATGTGCGAAAAATATAAGGAAAAATCGCTGTCCGATATTTCTTGGATAAGTCAATCATAAGGGAGAAGAATAGAAGGTTTTTGTTTTTTAAACACTAGAGAGGTAAGGTGACCTCATCTCACCTCCGGGTGTACCCGGGAGAGAAAATATTTAAAGAGGTCGCTTGAAATATCTACTGAAGCAGAGGAAAAAAGCTAAGTAAACTTTTCCTGTACACTGTAATTTGGAATTATTTTCTACCTTATAGAAAATCGATCTGGAAAATCATCAAGAATTGACTAACTTTTATAAAATCCTCAGCGATTTTCTGACTGTTTAGAAAGTGTGGATTTTCTAAACAGTTGATTCTGAATTAACTTTTCTCATTTGCCAGAAAATCGATAAGGATTTTCTATAGAGTAAGTTGGGGTAATTCTGGACAGCCTCTCGAATTTTCACAGTATTTTGAGCGTACCTGAAGCATTTTTACTCGGGAAAAAACGACACTTCGCAGGTAGATAGACCGAACATTTCTCTATCTA